ATACCCAAGAAAGACGGAGGTAGATCATGGGGGGGGCTGACCATATATATATATATATATACACACATTATTCACATGTATACCTATTGCTGTCAGTGTTTATGATTATGTAAGTATGTGTATGTACATATACATACACAGACACACACTGTGGCTTCTGTGTACTTCTTTATTTTCCTGTTCGTTTGTCTACTGACAGCCTAAATCCTCAAGATCCCCAGAGCCCTTCAGGTTCATACCCTAAACCCCTAAACCCTAAACCCCTAAACCCCTAAAATCCCCAGAACCCTAAACCCTAAACCCCTAAAATTCCCAGAGCCCTAAACCCCAAACCCCTAAACCCTAGAAACCCTAAAATCACCCTAAGCCCTTCAGGTTCATGCTCGCCGCCTCTGGGTTCCACTTTTTCATGCCCTCACCTCAGACGGGAACTCCGAAGTTCGGGCTGGGGGGGGGGCTTTTGGATTTTTGGGGGTTTCGGGTTTTGGGGTTTAGGGGTTTAGGGTTCAGGGGTTTAGGGTTTAGCGGTTTGGAGGTTTGGGGGTTTAGGGGTTTAGGGGTTTAGGGTTTAGGGTTTAGGGTTTAAGGGTTTAAGGGTTTAAGGGTTTAGGTGGGTTCCCTAGAGGGTTCTTCTAAGGGATTGATATGGGTTCTAGAACAGGCACAGTAAGGTCACTCCGGGGATTGTGGGCTTTAGTAACTGGGCTGGTAAACAAGGTAATTATACTTATAACTGTTTATAGCCACAATCAAGGTACTTATAGCCTTATATACTAAATCCCCTGATCCTGCAACTAGATGGGTTTTAGACCTTTCAGTGCTTTGGAGCTTTAGGGCTTTATGGTAATACGGCTAGAGGGCCCTGGGGGTTCAAGGGTAAGGTCTTCCGGGTTCTTTAGGGTTTAGGGTCTAGGGTCTTTAGGGATTTGGAGGTCTCGGTGTGGCATTTGGAGGTGTCGGGCTTGCGGTTTAGGGTTTTAGGGGTGGGTGGGTGGGTACAGGTAATATAGGAGTTTCGATGAAGGGGGTTTTCGGGGATATAGACCCTCTCAATCAGGTCCCTTTTAAGAGAGCCATAAGTAGGCTTAAGAAGGGTCCCCTTTAAGGTCTGGGTTTTGGTCTTATTGCGTTGTGGCACTGTGTGTGTCCTAATGCAGGGGCCTTAATGATTAGAATAGGGTTTTGGGGGTTCCTTATTGTAATTATAGTATAACGGGCCACAAAACCCTATTTCAATCATTAAGGCCCCTATATTACACCTTGACGACTCTTTCTGCTTCGTTGAGGCCTCGCACGGGCATATGACTGCAAGGGACAGACAAGGTCTTACGCCACCAACACCGACCGCGCCGCCGCAGAGTACCATCCTGCATCCTGCAAAGCTGTAAGGATCACCCACAGACTCCGATATTCCTTACTTAAGAATATTCCTTAAATTATAGTAGGATCCTTAAATATGGTTTAAGGTATATTCCTTAAGGGATATTGAAGTCTCTGGGCAGGTCTTTGATTAGAAGCACAAGGTCTCGGAGTGAGGCGATGATGCAAGGCTTTGTGGCACATGTTCTGTTTTCTTCAGGATTCCTATATTGCCTCTCGATGCCTTGAATGCCAAGACATGTTACTGTTAAGCAAGATGCCGGAAACATCCGGTAAGCTTTAAGTTGCGACACAGGCTCTGGTAGAATCCTTAGTTACCTTAACCCTACCAAAACCTACTTTTTTGTAGGTTCTTATCATGAGCCTTAATATGGAATTTAGAGGGACCCTACAAAAAAGTAGGTTCTGGTGGGTTAAGGTAGATCTCTAAACCCTGAACCCTAAACCCTAAACTCTAGTAGAACTAAGGAAGTTAGATTGAAGGTGTTGGGAGGGAGTCTCCGCGTAATCACGCCTCTGTGCAGTTCGAACCACCGGAACCTGGCAATGAGCCCACCAAAGCCCCGAACGGTTTAGGGGGTTAGTAGGGTTGCGTAGGGCTTAGTGGGGTTTAGGGTTTAGGGTTTAGTCGTGTTTAGGGTTTAGGGTTTAGTAGTGTTTAGGGTTTTAGTAGTGTTCAGGGTTTAGTAGGGTTTAGGGTTCAGGGTTTAGGGTTTAGTAGGGTTTAGGGTTTATGATTTAGGGTTTAGGGTTTGGGGTTTACCCTAAATCCAGGTACCAGCTCTCTTCATTCTGGGTCCTGTCCTGCGTGCCGCCTATCACTCACAGCGCCCGGAGCCTACTCGTACCTGCCGAAAGACCACGCATGGTTCAGTCTAGACTTCAGGGCGTCAAGTGTCAACTTGACACCCTAAATACTCAACCCTAAACCCTAAGCCCTGTCAAGGGTTTCAGTTTGCCATGTCCTCACTGCTACAAATATGCAATTACCTCCCTAAACCCCCCCCAAAGCCCTGGACCAACTCTTTCAGATCTCCTGAGGGGTCCATTCTTCCTTCGGCGACTTCGCTGAAAGGTTTCCCGCCAGTGTCCGCGACAAGGTTGGCAACGATTTCAAGTTCAAGGTCATGCAGAGCTACGTTGAGAAGTATGACACGTTGAGCTCTGTCCTCACGTCCCAGCACAAGACGGTAACCATCGTCCCACTTCTTCGCGGAGGTGTCAAAAGCAAGATTAACAAGACGCATCTCAAAGCAAGCGCGACGGTGCAGATGCTCGCCTCGTCCGACCTCGCAGTCTTTCAGAACTTGTTGAGGGTCTCATATTAAAGCAGTATTCAACTCCATGACTCTCGAGGAGCTCAATCAGATGTTGGATTACTGCAAGCACAATAAGGGAACAAAATTGGGGAAGCTTATAAGGACCCTACAGCATTGCCCCCCAAAACCATGTTAGAATTGTTGGGCTCGTATGTCTTAGAATTTCCGGAGCCCTTTGTTTAAGATGACTCCTAGGAGTAGCACATGCCATCAATCCTAGAAAGGATCCTCACTGATCCTTCTTTATCCTACTATAGGGGCTTTAATAATTACCAATACTATTTTGGGTGTTCCGTATTATACTTATAGTACAATATACCCCCAAAACCTCATTCTCATTATCAAAGCCCCTACATTATCCTAGACCCTAAACCCTATTCTAATTCTGATGGGCCCCTCTGGGCTTTGTTAAACATGTTAATTCTTCAGGCCCCTGTACCATAGAACCCTATCATAGATCCCTTATAGCACCCTTTAAGGATCCCTTTAACGGAGCCCTATTCTCGGGTCTTTTTCCGACACCCCCACAAGGCCCCACAACACAGGCGCGCCAATCGGCGCGGGGAGCCTAACCTTCTCTCTGAACCCCGGAGAAGAAGAAGAAGAAGAAGAAGAGGAGAGAGAGAGAGAGAGAGTAAACCCTAAACCCTAAACCCTAGGCTTTCTTAAACATGTGGGTTCTGGAGCCGCTTGAGGTTTTCGGCGGGCTGGGAGCCTCGGAACCCTTTTAAATCCTCTAAAAGCTTTAGGTGTTTAGGGTTCAGGTTTTAGGGGTTCAGGCTTTAAGGGTTTAGGGGCTTTGGGTTTAGATTGTTTAGGGTTTTAGGGTTTAGCGGTTTAGGGTTTAGGGGCTTAGGGTTTAGGGAGATTCGTGCAGAATCTGTGCATTCCCTTAAACTACCATGACCAACCTTTTTCTAGGATCTTACTATGAGCCCGAGTATTGAATGTATAGGGGCCCTACTAAAACGTAGGTTGGGGTAGCTCAAGGTGGGGTTTAGGGCCAGTTTAGGATTCAATCGAGGTTACAGAATCCGATGCAGCCCTGGAGGGGGATTCTCACAGAGCCCCTTCATAATGGCTGCTCTGGTGGAGGTGCAGGAAATTTGGATACCTTTCAAGGTTGTTTCTACATAGATGTGGAGTTATAAGTTTTATACCTAAACCCTAAACCCTAAACCCTAAACCCTAAACCCTAAACCCTAAACCCTGAACCCTAAACCCTAAACCCTAAACCCTAAACCCTAAGTGGTTAACCAACTCGTGCTTGGAACTCAGTCACTAAGTCTTCCGATAGGCATGCGGCTGAAGGTAAAGACAAGGACCGCGACCCGGAACCCGAGGCCTAAACCCTAAATCCTTACACAACGAAGCTGACAGCCAACCCTAAGACAGGGGTCTTAATGATTACCTATAGGATTTGGGGGGCTCCTTATTAGAATTATATAGTATAATATACCCCAAAACCCTATTCTAGTTATTCAGGCCCCTACAGTACAGGCAAAGAAACACCTCCGGGAGTCAGAGACCCAAATCTTCCAATGGGGTTTAGGGTTTAGGGTTTAGGGTTTAGGGAATATTCCGCAAAGCATATTTGGGACAGGGTCTAGTATTTTGGGATTGTTCTGGTGTCAGGATTAGTCGTAAACTCTGGGTATTCCTGGGCGTATAACTCTAAACCCTAAACCCTAGACCTTGACGAACAGCCTGGGCTCCTACACCCCAGACCCGAATGAAGGCACATTGCAAGATCACCATGCGCTTCGATTTTGGACTATACGGCTTTATTCAAAAATATTCCTTACATCACAGTATGACAATGAAGATCTATCTATATCACGGGGATATTCCTTCGTTGCTGGGTCGTGGGTCCTCTGCGCTCGAAGGTCTTGAATACCTTGAAGCGTGTGGTCATCATCATCGCATCTTGGCACAAAAGGGGGTTCATAAGCCTTGGAGTTTTGGAGGATTTGGGTTAAGGGATACGCCCCAAGGCTGTCTAGGAAGAAGGCGTTCAAGCACCTTCGTCGCCGGCATCTGCTCCCCCAAAGTTGCCCCCCAAAAAAGCTGGAACTTGGGGTAGTACGACTTATCCCTGAAGCACCCTGAAAACCCTGAAGCCCTAAGCCCTGAACCCTGAAAACCCTAAAGCCCTAAACCCTGAAACCCCTAACACCCTAAACCCTGAACCCTGAAAACCCTAAAGCCCTAAACCCTGAAACCCCTAACCCTGAACCCTCAAAACCTTAAAGGCCCTTATATTGCCTGAGCAACCTGTGTCCGAAGCCTGAGCAGTATCCTGGGCCAGTACTGGGTTCTTGTTAAAGGGTTTAATTTAGGATTTTAGGGTTTAGGGTTTTAGGGTTTAGGTGTTTCAGGGTTTCGGGTTTAGGGTGTTCCAAGTTACCGTAAAAAAAAGAAATCCAGTTTGTTTATTATAGATCCCTATTAAGGTTACTTAAGTTAAATTTCCTAACGGTGCCCAGAGTATTTCGTGACGCGAACGTGAATCCAATGCTCATGGGCTCCTAAGCAACGAGCCCTGAACCAACAGCCCCTCCCCTCCCAAGAAGAACGATCTGCTCAGATTCAAACTGTGATCATCATGCCCCACGTATGATCATGATGATGATGATGATGATGATGATGATGGTTAGACGACTAGATGATTAGATGATTTGATGATTTGATGATTAGATGATTAGAAGATGGTTACGTGGCTATGTTGATCATCGGGGAGGTAAATCAAGCAAGTACTGAAGCCTAAAAACCCAGATCCGACTAGAGCACGGCGGGCCCTAAACGGCTCAAACGCGTGGAACCCAGTTTTACCCGGTTAGATGCAGTGCTTTTCCTAAGACTCACCCCGTTTGAGGGACCTCTTATAACTCCACCTTTAAGAAGATTGCTGAACGCCCTGATCCTGAACGGCCCAGAGATCCGAACCCAAGCCCTATAAATCCCCACTTATCCCGTCTTCCACCCCATGCAACCTTATAGCATCACTTGCAGCGACCCTTGACAAACCGATGCAGGTCTCCATCATCGTCTTCCGAACGCCGGTGACCCCTCAGAGCGCGGCAGGACCGATGTAAACTGCCATATCGTACAATATTTTGTTTTGTTAATTACAGTATACTGTGCTATAATATTGTGTTTGATTATATTATTTCATACTATAGACTGTATTTTCTAAATTCTGCAAACTGCTAATTTCCACAAAGCAAGTCTTGTTTAGGGCTTCTTGCTAAGCGTTTAGCGTTTGGAGGCTCTAATAATATGTAGCACGGCACGGACTAGTATGGGTAAGTCTTCAGACCCCCTAAGCTTTTGGCTTGTGGGTTCAGGATTCGAGGGTATGGGAAACCCTAAACCCTAAACCCTAAACCCTAAACCCTAAACCCTAAACTGAAGGCCGGCCCCCCACCGCAGCGATGGGGGCCGGCCGCAGCAGGCGGACCGGAAGGCGCCTGCGGGACCGTAGGCGACGGCCGAAAGGCAAGCCGTAGGTCCTGGACCTCCGGTCCACGCGGCTGAAGTGAATAGCCGCCTCCCGCAGCCTATATAATGATAACCCT